ACTGTTACTTCAAGTGCAAGGGCGCATCAATTAGTCAATCAGGAGTGACGACAACAACTAGCCACAAATATACCTCCTCCGAATAAGTACGTGAATGGGAGGCTTAGATTTGAGTAGTCAGTGCTTTCCACCTGCGCCTCTCTTTTGACGCATTCGAGCTGGTTGATCGACAAAACCATCTGTTCTACAGTCGTTGCGTATTGGTTATCTTGCTATGCAACCCAGGCACAGAGCAATGATGACACCTGCTCTACTATGGACTACTGCTTATTTAAACTTGCCATCATGTACATTTCTGGACCTTACATGATCCACTATAAGGTGGCGAATTATGACCTTTGGAAATTTTGACACCAATATAAACGCCATAATTATCAGTGCAACTTTTGTTTGGTTGACAGTTTTGACCTTGAATTGGTCAAGTTTATCGAAATGTGTTGGCAAAACATGGCGATATCAATTAAACATCAGTTTCAGCTAATGAAAAGGCGCTATTTTTGCAAACAAATCACAGTGATTACAGTTCCTTGAAATGTGACAGTACATTTGGCTAGGCATTTTTTAATATTTTCCTTCAAACGAAGTTCCGACAAAATGATACAAAAAAAACCACCCATGTGCATTACTACTTAAGTAGCGCATAGGCCTTTACATCATTCTCCAACAGAACTTACAACCTTAACCGCTAACGTGTATACAGTTTGGACATGCATGTGTTTATTTGTTTAAAAATGCCATTAAAATTGGAATTGTGGATATAGGCTTGACAACTCGACGGCACAATTGATAGACTGAAGTAAAAGTACATTGACAATGCTGGTGGTACTGCACTAAATATTACCTTAATATAGTTAGCAGAATGTTGTTTGATTGCCCTTTGGTTGCCAAATTTCTGCGTTTTTGGCTTATGAATAAAGAATTCGTCTACTAAATATGCACGGTTTCACTTTGTACTACTAATAGGTCTAAAAATGGTTGGCTGGTTTGATGGTGCTATTAAAATACGACCAGCGCCAGTGATGTCCACGCCGTTCAACAGTTGCTTCATAAAGATGTCCGCTGCGCTATTTACTCAGTCTACTTTGATCACTTGATCGCTGCGGAAGTGTTTAAATTTTTAATTACTTGAGGATGTTTCCAACGAAAATGTTATGCAGAGTTGACTTTAAACGATGCCTAAATCCATCCCAATTTATAATAACCTATGAAAAACAAATAAACAATTAATTCAAGCCAACAGGGCATGTTTGTAAACATATGAAAGCTCCTAAAAATAGGCATATTTTTACAGCTAACTAATAAAAGTGTACAATTAACTCCAAACATCTACCAAGTCAAAAAGTTATACTCTTATTCCTCCTTATAAGGTAAAAAATTAGATCTGCAATTGTTATTATTCCAGTCATTTCATAGTTTTTGAGTGCAAATATTAATTTTAATTTTGTTTAAATGTGTCCGTTGTAATATCACTTCAACGACCTTTTGCGCCGGTGATTTAGGTTTGCGCATTCCCAACTGTATCGCGAGTTTAACCTTATTCCTTTTCTCAGCTGCACTTTCTAACAATGTCTTCAGAGACATTTGTCCCCCCCTTCGGGAGTTCTTGTACAATTCACTTTCCATTTCGAGGAGTCGATAAAATTCATGTGTCGGCGGACATTCTTCACCATCGCCGTCGTTCAGATATCCTTCAATTGTTCGAAGATTGCACTTGTCGGATTATGTCTCATAACTCTCTTCTCTACGTAGACTCACTACCAGCAAGTGCCCTTCCTACTATAGCTTACCGTGCCAATTATTCCAAGTTTTGCATAGATTTTGCGGAAATCTACGATAAATCTTTCTACTTTTTGAGGCTTAGACCTCGAACTGGTTTGTAAAATTTGTTAAATGAAACGCATATTTATCAGTGATTGATTTCATTGTTATCTGATTGCGGAAAATTGTCTGTATTTTTTGTACTTTATATACCTAGCTCTCTTGGGCATCTAAGAGATGATCAACTCCTTTGTATTGCTAATTGGATATCTTTTGCTTGGGTAGAGTGTCCACGTTAAGAAGGATTTCGGCTTATTAGGTTCACACACGTTAGCTTAGGGACAGGAAAAACTTTGCTAAGTGTCCTGATTTCTCGTTAGGTCTTAAAAGATGACCAGTGAGTTCTCTTTCACGGTGCCTACATTTGGCTATCGACCAGTGAGGTGTCTTTCTCGAGCTAACCATGGTGAATAGATGCACAAGACCTCCATCTTGCAGGAGAAGACGTTGGGGAATGACACTTTTACATTTATGAAACCTGGCATACCACAGTTGAATCAAAAGCTTGTAGTAAGTCATGACTGATTTATAACCAAATTTACCCCACGAGATCACCCATTGCCCTCAACAGATACACCACAAAAATATAAGTTGAAAATATGAGCAGAATTACCTAAAAAAATAACCCTTTGTTAAAATACAAATGGTACAGCACGTTTACTACTTATGTGTCTTGGGAATTTTAGATTTTGAGGGTCGACTGCTTGCATGAGCTCTCGGAGATCTCACTAAGGTCGTGGGAGAGCACGACGTTGGATGGAGTGAGATGCGCAGTATTGCCAGCCATATAGTACTGTTGGGTCACCTCTACCTCCTAGTAGATGGTTCTGCACCAAATTTACATGAATAAATATTATAAGGTAATTTTTTTTGGCAGTGTCAATATCAGCGACGAAACAGCCGTTTTGGAAATCACTCCCTCCTTCTTCGATGATGTTGACTCAACTGAACTTCTGTCTTCTCCTCCTCCTCCTTTGCCTCTTCCTCACCTTTCCTCTCACATCCCCTTCATATCTACCATCATCATGATTACAACAACGTCTGTTATCACCTTGGAAGCGGCTGAGGAATGGTTAAAAGATTCCAATAGCATAGTCAAGTTGTGCAGTCGATAAATATTAAAACAGTTGCGACAATTTGTGCATGGGAGATGGCTCAATATATTGAAGTCAATGGAGGTTAAGGTACAGAGGGACTAATGGGACAA